AATTCCTGCTTGGAGCACTTGCGGAATCTTGGGATGACCCCCAAACAGCCTCAGCAGCTTGTGAGGCCCTCTTAGGCCTGAGAACCTGTGACCCAGAATGCATATTATGGTCCTCCTCCCCCCCCCAGAGCAGAGCCAGGAGCGGAAACGTGGCTGTCCAGTCTCCAACGCAGTTGGTCTATGTGTCTGTGAAGAACGCGGCCATCATCCAAGGCAACTTCGTATGACAACGGCCCAGAGACCTTGCAGACCACAGCTGTGACCCAGAGATGTCCAGGCCCATAGTTCCTTGCCCAAACTGGATCGCCCACCTGAAGTCTCCTAGGTGCCCGCGGTTGTGACACCTGTGAAGCCACCCGATCTGGGTGCAACCTGTCCAGTTTGGTGATGAGGCGGCGACCCCAGCGAAGTTCTGCAGGGCTCTTCCCTGTGGCTGTGCATGGTGCGGTGCGGTGTGCAAGAAGGAAATCTGCTAACCTGTGATGCCAGTTACCGTAAGTCAGTTTCTTGAGAGCATCTTTGGTAGTGCGCACCATTCTCTCTGCCTGTCCGTTGGAGGATGGGTGGAAGGGAGCAGAAGTCGCATGCCAGATCAAGTTGGCCTGAAGAAAAGCCTGGAACTCAAAAGAGGTAAATTGAGGGCCATTATCTGAAACCAGGACATCTGGAAGCCCGTGCGATGCAAAAATTCCTCTCAACACCTGGATGGTCCTGGCAGTAGTAGTGGAGGAAACAGGAACAACCTCTAGCCACTTGGAATGGCTGTCAACGATGAGAAGGAAGAATTGCCCCTGAAAGGGCCCAGCATAATCTATATGCACCCGTGACCATGGGGTTTGAGTTTCCTCCCACCTATGTACAGGGCCCTGAGGCATTTCAGGGCGTGATTGTTGGCACAGTTGGCACCCGTGCACCTGAGCCTCGATCGCTTTATCGAGCCCAGGCCACCAAAGATGGCTGCGCGCAAGCGCTTTCATTCTTACTATACCAGGATGTCCCTCATGCAGAGAGTGCAAGATTCTAGACCTCAATGAGGCTGGGATTACTACCCTGCTACCCCATAACAGGCACCCCTTGAAAGTGGAAAGTTCATGCTTCTTGTGCCAGAAGCTTTGGAACTCAGTATCTGGGCACGTGTCAGGCCATCCTGATAACACCCAGGTCAGCACGCGTGTAAGCGTGTGATCAGTGGCAGTTTCTGCAGCCACGTCCCTAGCATTTAGGGGAGATTCAGGCAACTCCTGAATGGAAAGAATATTAATGGCAGGAGCAGGATCTGCCTCTACCTGTTTCAGAGGTAATCTGCTTAGGCCATCTGCATGACCCATCTCTTTTCCAGGTTTGTGAACTAGAGTCATATGCTGACAGGAAAATGGACCATCTCAGCATACGTGGAGAAATAATATGTGGTGTCTGTTTGTTAGTGGTAAACAAACCCAGCAGAAGCTTATGGTCTGTGTAGACTGTGAAGTGGCGGCCATACAAGAAATCATGGAATTTCTTTATGCCAGCCACTATGGCCAAGGCTTCTCTGTCAATCTGAGCGTAATTCTGCTCTGCAGATGACAGAGTCCTTGAGTAGTAGGCCACAGGGACTTGTGTCCCATCAGCCTTCAGATGGCTAAGTACTGCTCCCACCCCATAAGGAGATGCATTGCATGCGATGCAAACAGGCAATTGCTCATTGAAATGCACTAACACAGCATTTGAAGAGAGCAAGGCCTTGACCTCATTGAAACTTTTATCATGGACTTTAGTCCACTGCCATGGAGCCTGCTTGTCTAAGAGCCGGTGTAACGGCTCAGCCACTGCAGCCTTATGTGGAAGGAATGCGTGATAGAAATTTAAAAGCCCCAAGAAAGCTTGCAGCTCACTTTTGGACTTGGGCCTTGGGGCCTGCTGAATCGCTTGAAGCTTGGATTCAGCAGGGTGAATGCCTTGGGCATCAATTCTGAACCCTAAGAAGTCAGTGGAAGTGACTCCTATCTTGCATTTATCCTGCTTCAACTTAAGGCCTGCTTTGCGAAAACAAAGCAAGACAGCCCTTAACCTTTCTGCTAAATTTTGAGATGACTCCCCAGCAATGAGGACATCATCGAAGTAGGGACAGACCCCAGGAATACCTCGAAGTGTGCTCTCCATGACACTTTGGAATATGCCAGGGGCTACATTTACCCCAAATTGCAGTCTTTTGACCTTGAAGGCCCCCCTGTGAGTTACAATCGTCTGGGCCTCTGCAGATGCCTCATCAACAGGTAGCTGTTGATAGGCCTGTGCCAGGTCAAGTTTCGCAAAAATGCACCACCACCCCTTGAGGGAGGCCAGAATGTGGCTTACAACAGGCACTGGATAAGCGTGCTGTTGCAACACTTTATTCAGTGTGCACTTATAGTCTGCACATACACGGATTTCCCCATTAGCCTTTAGAGGCGTTACTATGGGGGTTTCCCATGGACTAGAATCCACAGGTTATAAAATGCCCTGCTGGAGCAATTTGTCCAGCTCAGCATCTATCTTACTTTTGAGAGCAAAAGGCACCCTTCTAGGCTTGACCCTGATGGGCGTGATAGTTGGGTCTAACCGTAGTGCAATGGGAGGCCCCTTGTAGGATCCTAGCTCTGAACTAAACACATCAGCAAACTCCTTGCAAACCTCTGCAAGGCCCAACGTTTGCAAGTTGTGCAGCCCAGTTACTTGGATTCCCAGAGCCTCGAACCAATCGAGTCCAATAAGACTCGTACGTTCACCCCCAACTACCACCACATCCAGGAACCCCTCAAAGTCCTTTCGCTGGACTTTGAGTTTGGCCTCTCCCTTTACACTGACTTTAGAATTCTGAAAATCAGTAAGTATTAGATTCGATGGCCTGAGTTTAACTCGAAGGCCACTACTGCTGCAAATCCTTTTAAAGGTGTCAAGTGAAATGATTGATAGAGCAGACCCTGTGTCCAGCTCCATCAATAAGGGAACCCCTTGCAACTTCACATCAATGCAAAGTTTTTTCTTAAGGGGCTTGTGTGTCCCTGTCCTCAGAATACTCCTGTGCGATGCACAGAAACCCACCCTGTGTTGGCTGGGGACCCTGGTACCTTTTTGAAGCAATTCTTCCCGAGGTTGGACCTTCTGGCGACCCAAACAGACGGAGGCAATGTGGCCTTGCCTGCCACACGCCCGGCAAATGGCAGAGCGGAACCTGCAGTCAGCTCGCTTGTGGCGTCCTCCACACCCGAAGCACTGAAGAGATGCTGGGGCCTTGTCCGGACGCCCCTTCGGCCTCCTCTCAGCTGACTGGTGAAGTCTGTCCACCTCCTCTTCATGATCCACTTCTGATTCTTCTCGAGCGTCCTCTTGATGGACGGTAGCGGTGGCTGGAGGGTTCCTGGCGAGCCACAAAGCCTTCACAGCACCGCCTGCTGCTTCTTCAGCTGCCACCTCTCTTAACGCGTCTTGGAATGAGACCTCTTCTTTCGCAAAGATCTTTTGTTGGAGGTCTCTACTTCTTAAGCCACACACGAAGCAATCTTGCAGCCTTTCTTCTAGATCCTTGAACTCACAAGGCCTGGCCGCTTGTCTTAAGGCAGCAATAAAGTCCGCAGCAGATTCACCCGGCCTCTGATCTCTCTGCTCGAATGCGTGCCTCCAAGCGATGACAGATAACTTCGGCTGGAAGTGTTCCTTCAACATCTTCTTCAAGTCAGCGTATGTTACTGACTCCAGAAGTGCAGGTGCCACCAGATTTTCCGTGATGTCAAAAGCTTCCTGTCCACAGGCACACAGAAGAGTTGCTGCCTTCAGGCCGTCTTCTCTTATTTGATTTACTCTAAAGTAGTTCTCCACCCGTGCTACGTAGGAATTCCATCTCTCTGGGTGGGAGACATCAAAATCAGTCAAGCAGCCGATCTTCGACATCGTAAAGTTTACGACCTTCACTAATTACCTCCTCTGCAAGCTGATGTTTGGGAAAGGGTCCTTTTGCCGAGCTCACCTCCAGCGATGCTGTACTGGCAGGCTGAGTCGCGAATGCAGGACGCCGTCTTCCCGATCGCCAGGACTTCCTTGGTGAGTCCTAATTCTTTTTCTTGCTTGGAGGGATCCCACCTTCGTCGCCAGTGTTGTGTTTGGCAATTGATGAAGACACATGGTGAAAACAACAAGCTCTTTATTTCTCTCTCCTACAACCAAGCAAGCAGCAAAAGGCACACAGGCCTTTTATAGTGCCTGAAACCCGGACAGTGTGAACCAATAGGAATTGACCATTTTTGTGCCTTGCGCATGCGCACAAGGCTGGCGCCACTCTGTCTGGTCCCGGGCAGCTTTTGGTTTGCCCGGGACCATTTGCAACAATTCTGAGCCTGCTTTCAGCTCTTGCAGGCTCAGGACACAACAGTATCCATTTAAATAGCTACAAGGGTGGTCTTAGTAGAGAGAAAATGCAGATTACTGAAGTGTGTAACAAGTAGAATTTGGGTGAAGAGGTAAAGAAAAAGATGTTTAGAGTGCCATGGGAAGAGAGGAAGGAAAGAAGGACCTAGACTGAAGGAAAGGCTGGTTTGTAAGAGGTTTTATGTTTACACATATCAGTTATTGAATGAAAATCACATAACCTATATCTTTGACATGCTGCTTGATAGATGTTAGGGTGGGCAATGTTTTGGATGCTAACTGATAAAACTTTGCTTTAATATCCTATTTGGGGAGGATAATGTAGGCTTTTTTATGGGGAAAGAACAGGGGAGACTTTATTTTTTATTCCTTCCTCCCCCCCCCCACCAAAGTGTAAGATGTAAATTAATTTCCTGCTTTGTCGAGAATTTATTGTGCTTCTGATGGTGCAAAGTTGAGGGACCAAAGCAGAATACATTATCCATTTAGTCCTCTCTCTTCCTGGGTATATGTGGACAATGAGTTTCCTGTCTATGAGAAACAAATCGTGCCATTATTCTAAAACAGCATCCAGTTTGTTATCTAAATCCACTCTTCCCAAATTGGTGTCTCCATAGAAGTGTTCAGCTACAATTCCCATCACCTGAAGACGAGAGACATGACTATTGAATGCCCAACACATCTGGATGTCATCCAGTTAAGAGTTAAGAGAAGGCTGAGCTCTAAGCTGCTCATCAAATATAGTTATGAGTGAAAACCTGACCAACAGGTTTAATTACAGTTTTGTAGAAGATGTTGCTGTTTATTTCATTACATGTCCCATTTGGTTCTTTTGACATGATTTGTTCTCATCAATTAAAAGGATTCCAATCAAAACAGGGAAGGGGTAGATTGGTCTTGAATCTGGGGCCAATCAACCCTCTTGGTGATAATTCAGAATTCTATTCCTTTCGCGGGTTGGGTGGGCTCACAAAATATTATAAATCTTAGTACCAGTTTGTATAAAGGTAGTGGGTGGGTGGGATAGTGGACATGATGAAATTATAAACTGCTACAGACTTTTGTATCAACGCATGAATCGAGTAAAATAAACTCAGATGCATGAAGTGGTGTCAAGTGATTCTTCTGAGAAAATTGGGGGACGTCCAAGCCATGTGACGTCACATGAAAATTCACAGCCTTTTAAAATCCACAATGAAAATGAAAAAAAAGAACACTCTTGTTAAAGCAGTTTTCTCACATTATTCTGTTTCTATGAGTCATAGCCAGCAATTACATAGCCTCGGGTACGGACAATTTTGGCTTCTACATCACCCAGGCATTTTCAGACGGGTGGTTGGAATTACTGGAGCAGAAATTGTAAATAAGACCCCAGGAGAAGTGAGCAACCCTCAGCAATTATAATGCAACTAACAGATGCAGCCAAGATTTGGAAAACGTCCTCACAAGCCAATGTCTCAATGCAGACACAGAGCATAAAACAACATATGGAACCAAAAAGGAAGCCTGCTGTAGAAATCTTGGAAACAGCTCCAGCCACATTACAAAATGATGGACACAATAGTCACAAACCAATAATTTACCAGAGGATAAATTGAACACTTCGGTGAGGTTCAACGGCAGGACTGCAACTAAATATATCAACTCGGTCTTTTGCAGTATCCAGCTTCCTGTTTTTTATTGTGTCTTCTAAAAAGTTGAGCAAGGCAAGGAGTTGGTGGATCTTAAGGGAGCCAGCTGGAAGTTCTGTTGCCCAATTATCACATTGCCCAGCCCTACTTAGCATTAAGCATGACTGCATTGAGTTTGTATACACCTCTTAGGTTACTGTGTGTGCTTTAGTGGACCTTTGAGTCCATCTTAATAAGTGCAGTGCCTATACAGAACACTATCCTGTAAGAGAGGAATTAATCTTTAATGCAGGTTTTTGCAGGTTCTCCCTGTATCAGCGTGAGTTAGCTTTAATGTTCACAAACCCTCAAAATGATTACTGTGTTAAAAAATTAAGATGATCAAAATTTCAGATTTTTAGTCACTTTTATATTTTGGGGCATCTGTAACATTACAGGAAAAAAATGTTAATCACTGCTGCAAAGTGTTCTAAATATTTTACAAAAGTTACGGTAGCAACTATGGTAACAAGGCCTTTATCTCTTCAAATGCGGTTCTTTAGGTCCTTTAAGACAGGAAAACTAAATGACATGTAACAATTTGACTTTAATTTCTGCAGCCTCTTGGGAATGGAAGAGGTGTCTTGGCAAGATTTGGGTCTTGGCAGGGCAACAGACTGCCTCTTTTATCTTCATTCTACTTCCTTCCTTAGGTCTTGTTGACAAAGAGGCTTAATCTGCAGATATCAGCCTATTTTATGGCTCCTCTGATTCACGAATGTTAGCTTCTGCTATACTGAAAACATTTATTCTCCTCTTGACCAGGTGGTCAATCTTCTTGGTCTCCAGAAGACCATTAAATACTGAGCTAGGAATATTTGCCATATTTATCTTGGCTGTTCATCCAGATCCTTCCATAAATAATCAGAGACAACCAAACCAAGACAATCAGATGATCAAAACCTCAATTTTGTTGCAAGAGAAAGGTTTTTTTTATTAGACAAAAGCTTTACACTTTAAAAATCTATATACAATATGCAGACACTCAGGTTTGAAATGTGCACCAACACCACTGTGGATTTAGGAGAGTTGTTAAGATCAGCCCCTGCCTGGAGGAGACAGGGTGAGATTATTACAAGGAAGGACCAAAAATAACCATTTCAATTTCAGAGGTCTCTTTGCAGTTTAAGCAAAAGGAATTACCAGGTCACAGCACTCTAATTTGGCTCAGTCAAGTGTTCTCCATGACAGTCTTCACATTTGGTTCCTTCAATATAGCCACACGATTAAGCAATGCCTAGGGCAGTGATGGCGAACCTTTTAGAGACCGAGTGCCCAAACTGGAACCCAAAGCTCACTTATGTATTGTCGGGAGCTGGGTGGGCGTGGCCCATTTGGTGGGTGTTGCCAATTGGGTGGGCATGGCTGCGGTGGTAACGGCAGACTGGGTGGGACTAAAAAGTTCAATCAATCAATTCCAACTTTGCGAGATCCTTTTTTCCCCTCGAGAAGTTGAAATTGATTGAACTTTTTTTTTTGCACACGGCGGCGGAGGCGTAAAGCGAAAAGGTTTTATAAAACCCAGCTGAAGTCCTAGGACTGGGGCGACAGAGAGGGCTCTGCGTGCCACCTGTGGCACGCGTGCCATAGGTTCGCCACCACAGGCCTAGGGGCTTGGCATCTCTTCTATTACGGCCCCAAGGTGGTGGTTATGTTGTGAATTTCTAATTCTGTAAGCCACCCAGAGTCACCGTGTGTCAGTTGGGCAGCCATAAATTTGTTTAATAAATTAAAAACCCTGCCTTCATCATCTCCATCTTTTATTTCTCTTGACCTCTGGGTCCTAATACAAGCATGAAAAGCCAGCTTTTGTGGGAAAGGAAGAAGAGGACCTTTAATAGGTAGGGGGCTACCATGGTAATGTAAATCTCTTGCTGAAAGCCACAGTAGGAGAGCTTGCTAATGCGCTAATGCAGAAACCAACGAGGAAAGAAAGAAGATAAACGATTGTCTATATAAATGAGTTACTACCTCAGAAAAGTACTAAATGTTCCAAATCTTGGAGAAAATAAATAAGTAAATACATCTCTGCCACTGGCAAATGTCAGAATCGTGGAGAAGTCAGACAGGGCTCCAGAAGGGCGAAACTGATGCTGAAAGACGTCCTTATTTAGTTCGCTTCAATATTGCACAGCACAATGACATGATTGAAGAAAAGGAAAGTATAGCCTTCAGCTACAGTCAAACTGAATTGCTTGAGAAATGAAGCAATTTGCCACCTCTGGTCTATGTATTTCTAATAAAAAAAATTACAAGAGAAAAGAGCAGATAATCTGGGTCATGAGCTGAAAGTACAAAAGTTAAACTGAACATTCAGAGATAATTCTAAGGAAACAATGCAAGATATGATCTTAAGACCTCCAGGATCAATAGGTAGCCTACCAATACTATATCCTTTATAAAGCTATGTATTCATATTGTCCAAAATAAATGACTTCCGAATGGTTGCTCCATGTCTTACTAGATATATTTGCAGAATGCAGGGGATTAATACATTCTCCTCTTCAGAGATCTGCTCCTATACAGTTTGGGAACACAAAAAAACTTAGTCCAGATTTCAAAAGGTGTTTAGATGTGATCTTCTTGATTTTTAGGCAACAAAATACTAGTTTGGTTTATTATATCAAGACAAGTGCAGTCCTATATTTCGTTCTCCCCAAAGATACCCCAAAAGTGTGAGGTAAAAAAGCTTTCAATTCCAAAACGAGAAGCTTTTCAGCTGCCCCTCAAAATGGCGGATCAGGATCCTCCTCAACAGCCAATTTTTAACTCAACTGTTCATATTATTATGGGAGTAAAACCAGAAGAAGCCAGGAGGAGCAGGAGTTACCCTATTGCCCCACACAGATATTACAAAAGCATCATGGGAAGGTGAAGTGAACACATCAGAGAAAAACTGTACAACCGGAGTGACTGATCTGAGGCAAAGATCTCATTCCTTCATCATGAAGGTTGGGAGCTGATCACTCTGGAAGACTTAGGGGAGTTACTTCCCACAACTTTGAAATCCTACATCTTCTTTCCCCGTTCAGCAGCATCTAAGGCAGCCATATTGCACGAGGCCGAGACCAAGTGAATTAAGCTGATGAAGCTCTTGGTGATGGCAATGGGGGTACAAACCCACAGAATCAGGCGGTAGAGTCCAGCGTATCCTGACAGGACTATGAAGTAGAACAAAAAAGAGAAGGGTGGAAAAATCCAACATGTTCTTCAGTCCTAAAGCCTCCCCTCCCCTCAATCCCCTCAGCTTTCTATACTTACTTTCTGGCCCTTCACCGAAACACAACAAGTATAACATGCAGTAGAAGAGTTCATTACCAGCACACATAATGAAAAGAACAGGCTGAAAGGAAGGAGAAACTACATCAGATCAAATCAGGCAAGAAATGGCAGCCAACAGAAGCCAGTTTAAATCAGATGGTGTTTATGAGGGCATCAGCTGGGATTGCACGACAAATCATGATGACTTTATGGAAACATCTATCTATATAAATAATCTATATTAAAAAAATAACCTATTGCATATGATAACAATAATATCCCAGAATGCAGAAAAGTCATAAAAACAGCAGTCAGATAACCCTTTCAGGAAAGAGATGGCTTGGATTGCCATCTAATCAACATGGAAGAAGAGAAGCAAATTGTATCAACAGAAGAGAATACTTGTGGCTCAGGGTTGAACTGTGGGGTCCATAGCGCTCTCTGAGCTTGGTTGTTTTCTTGCAGACATTTCACTACCCAACTAGATAAGATCATCAGTACTAGATAGTGCTAGACATCAGTGCTAAACAGTGCTTCTAGCACTGATGATGTTGCCTAGCTGGGTAATGAAACATCTGCAAGAAAACAAGCAACCTCAGGGAGCACCAAGTACCCTACAGAAGCAAATTGATTAGTAAGGGATCCTATAACACTGGCGCCATCCCACAGAAGAATCTGGTCTCATTTCAAATGGGAAGGAGGCATCACTCAACCATGATACAGATTGGTTTACATAGGTTTTAAGCACTTTGATAGTCAAGGTCAACATCTTAAATTAGCCTGAATGGAAGTCTACTAAATTACCACTTTTCCTCCAATTTGAAGGAAATGATTAATGAAAATAAACATGCTAGAACAGTGACTGATGTGGCTGGGAATGCCTCTTTCTATAGCAGACTTTGGGCATTGGGGGAATGGGGTAGAGTGGAATGTGTCCAATGGTAATGTGTTACACTGCAAACTCCCCCCATTGTGTACTTCTATCAAGTCACTGGCAATTAAATGACAGATGGAGCTTGCATTGCAATTCAGCTTACTGCAGAGGCCAACGGGAGTGGGAAAATTTACTGAAGACAACTCTATTGTTCATTAAAAATGAGAAATCACCCCAATGGTGCTTTCTCTCCAAAGCATTTTGAATTAAGAGAGAGATCCTAGGAGAGAATTTCATAACAAAATTGGCAAGAAAAGGCCTGCAGTGGGGTTTCGGTTTTGAGAAAACAGGAGAGGAAGGTTGAGATGGGGTTATTAATGCAATGCTGTGAAGACTCCAAAGAGACAATTTTTGTGACACTCACCCATGAGTTGTAATACACTCTCAAGATCGGATTTCTTATACTCTTATGGCTTTCTCCACCTTTCACCACAGTGCTAAGGGGAGGCAGGGGAAGAAAATTAAAATGGGAATTTAGAATAATCGGTTCTACCTCAACTCTCCTCTCTTGTTCCTTCTTTCACACGCCTGTGTATCTCTTCCATATGAAATCCTCCCAGAACGACTTTCTCTGCTGCACAGGAAGCATGTTCTAACTTTCACATCACGTTTCTCCAGGTTGTGCATGCTTTAAAAACAACTCAGCCTCAAAACTGCAATGTTACTTCCTTCACCCTTATTTTCTTAAGAAGCCAGTCTTTCATGTGCATCAGATCTTTTCCAACTCTTTAAACAATATTAATTTTATTAAGTTTTAACATTTTTATGCTGTCCTTTAGAACCAAGCTTTCTCACCGGATCTTACAATAAATTAAAGCAATGCATTCATTTATTAATAAAGGAGAGTCAGTTTGGTCTAGTGGTTAAGGTGGGCAATAAACAAACAAACAAATAAATCTGATGGACATTATGAGGCTTAGAGAACTTCTCCAAAGGCCTAAGGAATTTTTTGGAATAAAGGACAGATGTGAAAGGCAGATCAGTTTGTAGCTCCATCTAGAATACAGTCCTACACCTGTACACATGACTCAGCAGAACAGCCACCAAATAGAGCTCTGTCTCAGGAGAAATGAGAGGATTACAGGTAGCCCTTGACTTATACGACCACAACTGAGCCCAAAGCTTCTGTTGTTAAGCAAGACAATAATAAGTGACTTTTGCCCCGTTTTACAACTTTTCATGCCACAGTTGTTAAGTGAATCACTGCAGTTGTTAAGTTAGTAACAAGGTTGTTAAGTGAATCTGGCTTCCCCATTGATTTTGCTTGTCAGAAGGTTGCAAAATGTGATCACATGACCCTGGGACACACTGCAACCATCACAACTATGAGACAGTTGCCAAGAGTCTGAATTTTGATCACATGACTACGGGGGATGCTGCAACGGCCGTAAGTGTGAAAAACGATCATAAGTCACTTTTTTCAGTGCCGTTGTAACTTTGGTCACTAAACAAATAGTTGTAAATCCAGGACTACCTATATAGCTCTTGCCTTTACAACAGTAAAGGTCCCCAACCTTTCCGGCATGGCGGCCTGACGGGAGGAGGGAGAGGGAATGGTTCCGCGTGAGTGGCAGGCGTGCACAAGTGCACACAGCTCCATTTGTGCAAGCAGCAGGTGCCTGCACCCACCGGTCACACAAATAGAGCTTCATATGTGAGCATGAGTGCCTGTTGCTCGTGCAAGTGGAGCTGCGCGCCCACGCTTGCCCGCCGCTTACGCTGCCCAATTCCAAACAGGTCGCAGCCCGAGGGTGGAGGATCCCTGCTTTACAAGGCGAAAGGGTTTTAAAAATGCACAGGCAATACAAGCATAAGCTCCTCCAATCTGAAGACCAAAGGGACGATAAATCTGAAGCGAACTGTCTACACCCCTTTTCAATGCAAAACTGAACTGGATTACAATTTGAAGGAGGAGGAGGATCTAAGTAGAGGAGAGCCATTCTACCCATCGCTATATAGAGCGGCATTTTTCAAATATGGCCACTTTAAGAGGTATGGACTTCAACTCCCAGAATTCCCCAGCCAGCATTGCATCGGTACCTAAATTTGATAGACAGCTAAATAAACTGCATTCAGCTCTACTATTTCCCCAGCCGATACCTGTGGAGATGTAGCCAATGGGAGGCCACATCCAGGCTCATGCTAAGCTGAAACCAGAGGGCAGACTCTGGATAGAGCAGTGGTTCTCAACCTTTTTAATGCCGCGACCCCAACCGGTCGTAAGTCGAGGACTAAACCGGCCGTAAGTCGAGGACTAAACTGGTCGTAAGTTGAGGACTAAACCGGTCATAAGTCGAGGACTACTCAACCGGTCGTAAGTCGAGGACTTTCCCTGCCCGGGAGCGCTGCACATGCGTGGTTCCGCCCCCTGCGCCGGCCGAGGCATAGCTGGCAAGCAGCAGAGACGGAGCAGGCCGACCACCAGCTGGCCCAGCCCAAGGGAGGTAAAGCACCCGCCGGAAAAGGGGAAAAAAATGGCGGACAAAAAAAATGGCGGACAGCCTTGCTTGGCGACCCCCATGAAATGGTCAATCGACCCCAAATGGGGTCCCGACCCACAGGTTGAGAACCACTGGGATAGAGCATAGCCAGGTTCACCAGCAGACACATAGTAGTACAACGGTCAGTCAGCATGTCCAGCATGGCCCCAAAGCGGGTTCCTAGGAGGAAGGCCATAGGTTAGGAGAGGAACAGTGCTTGGGTTTTTTTGTTCATTCATGCCTTTTAGTATAATTTTATTAAGTAAAAAGCAACAGGAAAAAACACACATAAAAAGGGGGAAACATACACATAATCACATGCATAGCAACCTGAGCTCCAACTTCAACTTACTGATCCTTTTTAAAAAAAATAATATTAATGCTGTTGCATAAGCTCCACGCTGAAATGAAGACTGAAACAAGAGTTTCAAAAGACACTGTGTGTCCAATACAGGTAGTCCTCAAGTTATGACAGTTCACTTAGCGACAGTTCAAAGTTACAACACCCCACAAAGTACTTACGACAGTCTCAAAGTTACAAATGTTGCAGCACCATGGCAGTCGTTCACCCTTACGGCTGACCGCAGAGATGCTGCAACATTCCCCCTGCCTGTTCCACCCCCACCCTCCCCACAGGGACCTAACAGGCACTGGCCCTGCTATGCTAGCCCATCGGCTCCTCCCCACCCCGTTACTGATCACTCACTTAACTTTCGAAGATCCAGAGTTCCAAAACAGGCTGACCGCTCCTTCTCTCTCCTCCAGCGAGCTGTCTTCTCTCCAGCCTCTCTGCTGCAGGGTTTGCCTGCTCCCAGTGCTCCAAAAGTGGAGCAATGAGGGCAGAGGCAGAACAGGACAAGCGCGCCCTGCTCAGCTTCACTGAGTCACTGAGGCTGCCTGCGCAGGACATCCGATCTGCTTCTGGAGCACCAGGCAATCTCGGTGACTCTAAAGGAGCACAAGATCGCACCTCCAAAGGCCTCCGTCCCTTTGTAAAAGCTTTTGGGGTGAAGGACAGAGGCCTGAAGGAGTGTGAGATCGCGCCCCCCCCCCAAGGCTTCTGTTCTCCACACCAAAAGCTTTTGCAAAGGGACGGAAGGCTTCGGAGGTGCAATCTTGTGATGCTTCAGGCCTCCGTCCTTTCGCAAAAGCTTTTGGCGCAGAGAACAGAAGCCCTTGGGGGCATGATCTCACACTCCTTCAGGCCTCTGTGCTCCGTGCCAAAAAGTTTTACAAAGGGATGGAGGCCTCTGGAAGCGCAATCTCGTGCTCCTTCAGACTCACCAAGGCTGCCTGGAGCTCAAAAAGTGGAACAGGTATCCTGCACAGGCAGCCTCGGTGAGTCAGCCAAGCTGAGCAGAGCACACTTGTCCCGCTCTGACTCTGCTCTCAGCGCTCTGCTTTTGGAGCACTGGGAGCAGGCAAAGAAACCACAGCAGAGAGGCTGGAGAGGAGAGAGTTCACTTGATCATCAAGATCTTCAAAAGGTGAGTCTCCATAGGGCCAGGGCCTGTGGAGACCCAGTGGGGCAGGAAGGGGGAGAGGGAAGCATGAGATATTTCAGTGGATCGGGGAAGGCCCTGGGTGGTTGGAAGCACTAGGCTCCCCATGGTCTTCCCCACCCTGAGATACCTCATGTGCACTTAATGACCTGTGCATTCGATTAGCGAATGCACTGGGTAAAACAGGGAGGGATCACGTTAATTTAACATGATCCAATGAACGAATCCTCCAGTTACGAATGTAATTGGCAGGTTCTAGTACATTCATAACTCGAGGATTACCTTATTATCATTAAGACAAATGACCATACTCAGCTTGGCACTGTAGCCCCTGAGGTCTTGACCCAAAACTCCGAGAATTCCCTAGCTAGCTTAATTCTTTCTTCAAATGGTTGTTGAATTGCTTTTGATTTGGAGGATCAACATGTCTTTTGTTCCAGATATCTCAGTAAAAAAACAGCCCAAACTGCTGGAATGAGTTATATAGCTTGATAAGTAATGTAAACATGTTTTTGTAGAAAGCTGTTCATTTGCTTCTTTTTTTTTTCCTGAGTGAAGAATTTCAATAGGGGAGTTGAAAATTTTCAGAGACCAGCATGACAAATCCAAAGGTACAAATGGAAGTTTAACTTAAATAAGCTTAATTATTTAATGAATCCATTACTTGATTATTTAATTAGTGATTCGATAAAGGGAAGCCATAGGAAAGGAACCCAGCCAAGCCCTTTTGAAATCTTCCTTTCAGATATTACAGTTTTTTACAGGGACTTTGTCTTTCATGTTCACATCTACAATTTATTTTATAGATTGTTTTATTGGAGTTTTTAGACTGTAAGAGTTCTTAATTTATTTGCTATAAATATTTATATGCTATGATTCTTTCAGTAAATTCCAATAGGTAGATGTTATAGCAAATCCTTGTTTAAATCAAACGATTAAGCAAACTATCACCTATAGAAATATAACTTGACTGGAAGAAAGCTGGCAAAATCTAACATTCATATTTTGACATAAATACTAGAGGCAGAATCCTCTCCCTACATACTTGAGGTAAGGTTTGCACTGTCTTGATTTAAATGTGCATGAATTAAATGTTTCTAACTATAAAATACTCCTCAGCTATAGATAAGAATTCTCAAACAAGCCCTTCTAAAGCAATCAAACAATACTCTGAGGTAGTTCAAGATCTTCTCCCCTAAATAACAGATTTGAGAAGAAGGCAGGGCAGAGCATGAATGACAATCTAGTCAACTCAAAAATATACTGAGATTGCTTCACTGTTGTAACCAACCACAATGATAGTCCAGTTCTCTTTTTGGGAAAGAGACAAGGGCTTAATGGCTAACCTTGAGCTGGTCAGGATTGAACTGCTGGCAGTTGGCAGAATTAGCCTGCAATACTGCATTCTAACCACTGTGCCACCACGGATCTTATAATGCTCTACTTTTGAGGCATTCCCTTTGGAAAAGCCTCTCTTCCTCCTTAACACCATTTAGTCTGGAGTCTAAAGACACTGAAACTGGGTTTAACTATAGCTACGGTCCTCCCCAATAGCACTGCTGCAAGGAATCCCCATTGGAATTTGTGTGCTCTCCTGCATCAAACTTATATTCTGCATTTCAGGAGCAGCTGTTTGGCCATAGAAATTAAGTCATCCAACAAAACATCAGCAGGAATCATTTGACTTTGCTCCTTTGAACTGAATGGAGCCGATGGGGTCTCCGAGCATAAGCCAAGGGCCTCTATCTGTGAGATGCTTCCAAAAGGAGGTTTTTACCTCATCTTTTAGTAGTAATGGGATCTAAAAGATCCTGGCCAGCTCATCCTACGGAAGGGATAAGGTTGAATTCTGCTAAGAGCTGTGCGCTGATGCTAAACCCAATTCTGTTTTTGTCAACTTCGAGGGACCAGATAAAAATGATTAAAAAAAACCTAGGTATTGCATAGCTTTTAAAATGTAGCAATCTCATCTTTGGCAAATGTTTCCATTTCTTGCTGATTGATAATTTTATTGTTTTGCTTTTTGTCCCCCTGCCTCACCCCCAGTATTTTAAAGTATTGCCAGCTGTTTTTCAAGTGAGAAGAAAAATAGATTGTCCTCAGCACTGTCCTTGCCCAGAAAGAAATGAAGTAAAACGACTTTGCTTAATCTTCCGGGTCTACTTCTAAAGGAAGTTCCTAGTCCTCATGGCACCAGAGAACTTTGAAATGCCCAGACAATGGAGTCAGGAACTTAGCAAAACCTGATATATATGCTTTGTTATTACTGTGAGAATTTTGTCTTGAACTCTTGATCACACTGTATTCTATTTCACTGCTTTCAATCTATTTTGTTTCATTTTATGATTTCTATATTGCTAGCCACCTGGTCATTTTGTTGAGATGGGTGGCCGTACAAATTCTTGAAACAAATGGAAAAGCACGCCTATAGAAAACTTAGAAACTGGGGTCAGAAAGCTCAAGATAAGTTTACTAACAATTAATTAAAATCTATCACTTGTGCCCACCTTTGGACAACTATTCGTTCCATGGAAGAAGAAAAAATTATTTGCAGATTGTTTAAGTAATATTACATTGTAAATTGGCTGCTTGCTTCTCTGGTGCTTTTAGATAAAGGAGCATGGGTGAATGAGGGTAACTGGGTGAGGATGAAAGGCCCTCCTAGGGGTTTCTGTAAAATATAGGGGAAAAAAAGAAAGAAGTTAACATGCCAGCATGATGGTGTGGCCAAAACTCCATCTATTTTTTATGCACATTTTGACCATACACCTACTGACACCCCTGGCTGCTACACCAAGATCTTTGAACCATTGCCACAGGAGAGCAAAAGCTAGATTTACTCCATGCTTTGTTTACCTTTGGGAAATCTTGCAGCTTGGATCCCGATTGTAGGATTAATTGGAGAGCTGCGATTTTCTGCTGTCCAGGAGGGGAAGGTAGCTGCTAAAAGCACAAATCCTCCCCCTTTATCCTAAAGTGACAGCCAGAACACAACGCATACACAAGGTCAGCATGCCATGCCTGAAATTCAGATTCCCAAGACTGATTACAGGCACCAATTGGACCCGTTGTTCCGCAATATTATGACGTAAGATCCAGCAGATCAAACATCTGGTATTTTTCTCAAGGATCCAACAGAACAGAAAGTCGGGACTGTGGCCATTCCAAGATGCTTAGCTGTAAAGAGAGGAGTGAGAATCTGCATTTGGGAAATGTACAAAGTCACCTATCTTCAATGTAGACGCCCTCTTGCCCTCTCAAACACAAACCACCACCTTTTTCCTCATCAGGTGCCCCAGTGTGGGAGGTGGAATGAAACCAAGCTGCCTCCTGTTGCTCGCCAAACTGCCGGGATGCTGTTACCATGGGAATGCTTCCAGAATCCAGTTGCTAGGTGACAGAATTCCTTATAATGCAGAAGGACCAAACTTTTGTAAACTGCCACACAGGACGGATCTGCAGAGACACAGCAGTTCCAGGATGCTGGCCGTTGAGTCAGAAAATGTACTTTAGAAAGGAAACGAACAAGCTCATGATTTCAAGCGAGGACAGAAACCTTTCAGGGCTGAGAGCTTTACAAGAAAAGGCTGTTGAAATGTGCCGAGTAGCAATAGAAGAGAATATTTGTAATTCAGGGTTCCTCGGTGCTCTCTGGGTTTGGGTCTTTTCTTGCAGACGT